GGAAGGGGCCAAGGGCTGCGGAGAGCATTGACCCCTTCCGCCCCCTGGAACAAGGAACCTGGTGAAGAACCTTGGGAGATGAGTGTTGATCGGATGAGTGAACAGGTCCATGATCGGTTGTCCGAATCTGAGGGTCACTCCTGGAACAGATCTGAATGAAGATGCCATTCTGCATGGTTCACCATGGCCCTGCTCAACCAATTCGCTTGCACATTTATGATCCCAGAAATGTGCTCCGCTCTGAGTAATAGGATGTGTGACTCCTCGCAGAAACTTAGTCTCTTCATCTCTAGCATGAGTGACCTGGAGTGGGACCCTGATGATTGATATGGGCCTTTGTGGCAACACTGTCAGTGAGGATCAGGACATATTGGCCTGCGACTACCTCCCGGAAGCATCGAAGGGCTACATGGGCAGCCGGAGCTTCAACCAGTTGATATTGTTCACTAGCTCCTATGGACTCTAGCGCCCCTGAACCACTTAGAGATCCGAGCACCCTTGAGTGGCACCTGAACCCTGATGTTGGAGCTGCTGCTGCCCGTCTGTTGATATGGGAGCAGGAAACATTGCAGGTGCCACACGTGTAGTCGTGCCCAGGGAACAATATCTATGCAGGATATCATTTTCCCTAGGAGCTTGGAGAGGATCGCCAAATGTACTGACCTCTGTATGTGAAGCTGACTCACCAGAGAACATATGCTGGCACACCACTCCTGGGATAGGTAGACCTCGCATTGTTCCTTGTCTATTTCCGGTCCCAAATGAAGTAGACTGGAGGAGGGCAGAAGGTGACTATTTTCCATATTCACTGAAAACCTGTGTCTTTGCAATGTCAAGATCATGGTGCACAGATCTAGCCATGCCTGCTGCGGGGATGACAATTGTATCAAAATCCATCAAAGTAACATTGGAGCTTTACAGGCAGCGACCTGAGATGGGCCACCATGGTTGCCAGCAGCTTCGTGAAGGTCCTGGGGGGCCGATGACAGGCTGAACAATAGGGCCCTGTATTGATAGTGGGACCCTGCAAAGTGAAATCTCAAGAACCTTCTGTAAGACAGTAGGCTTCCTTGATGTCCACAGACGTCAGTAGATCTCCCTGACAAATGCAGTCCAGGATGGATTGTAGGGACTGCATCTTGAAGCATTTGAATGCCGAGTGAATGTTGAGCCTCTTTAGATCTAGGATGGCTCTCCAACCCCCACCCCCACCCCTCCAAGCTCTTGGGAACCAGAAAGAGGATGGAATAAAATATCTGGCCTTCCTCTCCTGATGAAACCGACTCGATGGCGAGAATGTCCAACAGATGCTGGATCTCGGTGTCCATGAAGCCATTCTTGACCTAGCACCATGCAACGGGGCATCTGATAAACCGTCTCAAGAGAATTAGTGAGAAACTCCAGAGGCAGACTTAGCCTTACCGTCTATAATACCCATGCATCCATAGATTTATGGTATCTTCTTTTCCCTTCCTAGCTGCCAAAAACAAACAAAGGGGCCATTTTTACAGGCAGGCAGGCAAGCAGGCTGCTACCCTTGTGATAAACACAAAATAAACACTTCAGAAAACAACTTCATTTTATACATAAAGCATTAAAACATAAAAGTGAAATCAACAAGTTCAAAACTGCCTCTACAGGAAAATGTATTATATATTGCATCAAGCACACTTATACCAAAGTGCATTCACAGATCTAAGAGTGGCATAGCAATCAATACTGTTTTTACAGACTTTTGTGAAAACTCCCAACAGTGTCCAGAAACAAAAGTGCGCAACAGAATATACAGTGCAAAGATGAATGAACAACCAAGTCAAAAATTTAGAAGAGACTTTTAAATGTAAAAAAGCCATCCGCACAAAACCCTTGGGAACTAGGCATAACTAAATTATGCTGAAGAGGCTTGCTCTATTTGGATGTATGTGTTTCCTCTATACAATTTATCCTGTTGGCTGAGAAGCCTTCAGAATGTTTCTGAAAATTAAGTCATTATTTGACAGCATGCAGTTGTCTGCCACTCTGCCTCCATTAAAAATGAGTTAGACAGTGGATGTTGCAATAAGAAACAGCAGTCCTTCCTTTATTCTGCAGTATAATGAATCTCAAGATAATGAAATGTCAATGGCATGAAAACTGGTTTTGTCCAGAAACCTCTTGCTGTCTCAAGAAAGACTAGAAGCAAATGGAATAGGAGTAAAATAAACTTGGACTACTTTAATTATATTCTACTTTCAGAGAGGACTATTGATCCTTAAGACCAAAAAAATATACTAATTCTACCAATTTAGTTGTGGTGGGAAAGCTGGGGGCTTGGTTCTCAACCTGAGCATTAGGTGATCATGTCAGAGAAGATCTCAAATTAGCCTGAGGCACCAGAGATATAGCTGATAGGTTAAGAGAGATCAACAAGTTCTCTTAGGACAGTGGTTCCTCTGCTGGCTGGAGAATTCTGGGAGTTGAAGTCCACAAGTCTTAAAGTTGCCAAGTTTGGGAACCACTGTTTTAGGAGATGAACAGGGAAAGTCCTACATCTTATCAATAGTGAGCAAAATCTGTGATCAAGGATTTTCAACAAATGTAGATCTAACTGATTCAGAATTCGTTCACATATCATAAAAATTCCACCCAGGCTGAAGCAATTGAAGACAGGTGGGTCCTTCAAAAACAGGGCAAAATGCCATGAAAGATGTTGTAGATGACAACCAGCTCCTTGGAATTGCATCCAGAAGCTGGCAGGTAACTAACGCAGCTTATAAAGTCGCAATAACACAGTGACATAATGAGAAGCACTCATCTTGCTTTGCTGTACTTTGAACCAGCTGTAGCTTCTGGTCAGTCCCGCATAGAACACATTGCAAAAGTCTAGTCCTGAAGTGACTGGATTATGAGTGACTGTCTGAGTTACCAACTTTATCAGTGAGGAAATCCCTCCTTCTCACTAATTCAAAAAAGACTGTGTGAGAGGATCAGAAAAACTCCACCCTAATGCACATACTCTGGTTATATTGCTTCTAGATTGAAAGTAGTTTTAATAGAAGAGAAAATAATTTTAATAGAAGGGAATATATGGAAATAGTAGACTTGTTGAAATATCTGTATCCATATTATTTGTCTTCAGTTTTTGCTATCAACCTTCTGACAATTGCTCAGTATCAAATAAATGATTTAAAGGCAATTTTATTATTTTAATGCAAGGCAAATTATCTTAGTATAGACTTTGGGGAAAAAAACCTTTGTAGGCATAGGGATGATTTACCTTAACAGAAACCTAATATTGAAGTTAATTCATTTAATTCTTCAAGCTTCAGCTGATAACCCAATTAAAGCTGAACTACACAAACATAGGTAACCTTTTTCTATAATGTCAATTCCTCTCTTTGTACATCAGCAGCTCTTTCTATCCACTACATTTGTTCAGAGAATACTTCCTACCATAACTAAGCAGAGAAAAACTGAACTATCCGGACATTGTCAGGATGAATCTTCCAATAAAAACATAATTAACAGTCTAGTTTTCATAAGGCCTGAGCTTGGGAAAGGTCAGCTTCCTTGAAGTCTCTATCTGCCAATAGAACATAATAGTTAAAAATGCCGCAGTAGCATTTCATTACCTAGCTGGTGTGGAAAAAAATAAATAAAATGATATTAAGATAAATGCTAATTAAGCTTGAGACAGTATCTGATGCAAAACATCAGAATCCTTTTTGTATATTTTCTGGTTATCAGAGAAGTCGGCTAATGAAAATGAAAAAGAGAAAGAAGACCTCCACTGCCGTCCAAAGCTAATCTAGTATCTTTTCTAAATATAACAAACATTATTGCTCTTTCCATGTGTTTGCTTTTCTCTGTCACGGTGTCATGCTAGAGGCGGTTTTGAATTATTCAGTATTGCCAAGTAACTATCACCTACAGCGAAAGAGCAAACAAGATAAAGCAAAGCCTTTTACCGTAGCTCTCCAGATGCCTAGTTGACTCAGGGTATCTGAGGTATATCTCGTGTCCATGACAATCTGCTCATTATATTATGGATGTGAGCATTCAATGTCCATTTTAAACCTTGATCTTTTTCTTCTCCATTATTAGCCCATCTTACTAAAGTATAGAGAATTCAGGGAAAATTTCAAAGCTTGTTTAGAGAGAAGGCTGGTATCTCTAAACCAGTGTTTCTCAACCTTGGCAACTTGAAGATGTCTGGACTTCAACTCCCAGAATTCCCCAGCCAGCATTCGCTGGCTGGGGAATTNGCAGTCAGCTAAAGTAGCCTGCAGTACTGCATTTAACCACTGCGCCATCTCGGCTCTATTAAAGAGGCACAGTTGTAACAATCTGATTTATTAAAGCAGCAGCATATTTTCAGATTTGCACAGAAGCTTGAAGAAAGGAACAAGCTGTTTAATGAACAGAAGAGAAGCACTGTAATCAAGCAAATTCTAAAACTGTTCTTCCACATGATTTTTGTAGATGAACAATCCCGTTCTATCAACCACTATGACTTTCACTAACAATGCCTTCCAAGACAAAGTAAAAGAAAATTTCAAACGTTCCTCCTTATAGAGTCCTTGTTCCTAAATGTTAAATGTTTCCAAAAAAATCATCCATGATAGACACGGCTCCAAAGATTTAATCTTTGGAGTAATGAATTTCTAATCAAATATACAAATATATAGGTAGAACTTTACCTATTGTTTTACTTATTCATTTTAGATACAGAATCCATTGAGAAACATGTTTTGCACTAAACTGCCCTGGCAAACCACTTAGAGAAGTCCTGCAGCACAGCTGTGCTACTGGATTCCTCTTTTTGAGTAACCTCAAGTATTATACTGTATGGTTTCTTCGCTTTTAATTACCAAAATATTTACTTAATGATTTTGGAAAGCCCTCAGTGAAACACAGGTGTTAAACACTGAAATCAATACAGTGCCACAGAGACAAAACCAAACTCAGCCATAAACATGTATTTCATTCAGGAAGGAGAAAAGGGTACCAACTTCACTTACCTTACCACTGGATCTGGGATTGTTTCTGTATTTGCTGGCACCTGAACACCCTTTTCCCACTCTTGCCTCCAGGGATCAGCAAGGATATAATACTCATCCGGGCTCAGCTGGAAAGAATCTGGGATCTTCATTGCTGTTATCAAGTCGGTGCGAAAAACCTGAAGATGACAGATGAAAAGGACAGTAATGAAATCACTGGCAGTGAAGATTTTGAAAGCAGAGACTTTGCCAAGCTTGGAACAGATGAGGGAGTGGATTGGACAAGCTGAAACAGATATGGCCAATAAAATGGCTCCTTACATACTTGCTAATCTGGCATGTCTAAATTCATCCAATCTGGGAAAAAATCAAGAAAACCTGGGATCAAATAGGCAGCTCTGAAGAATAGAGAACAGCATCATATCATAAAAGGGACTGATGATAAAACTGGGCAATACTGCATTGAATAAAGCTGAAAAGGATTTGATATTCACAATAGTGGGAAAAAAGTTACTCAAATTTATTTCTGAGCAAGTGAAACACTGAACAAGGAAGCTAAGTTCCATTGGAGGTAGAACTAATACTGAGAACATTTAACATTGGAGAAAAAGGACAAATACATTTTTGTTCAGGCAATGAATGTATGCACCATCACTGCCATGATAATAAATGAAATTAGCAACTATTATTCTGGTTTGCTACTCTTCCTTTGGACATGTACTTTACTTGTATTTCCCATGTGCACAGTATGAATTCTCAAGTATGTGTCATTTTACTATTCATATAAATCAAGAAAACACAAACTTTCTCGAGGAAGGAGCAGCCGAAGTCGCGACGACACAACGTGTGATCTCAATGCTCTGAGATCGCAGTCGATACTTTTGCTCCTGGGTGGTCCAAATGGACCTAAACCGTCCCGCAGAGACAGTGAACAGGAAGAATACATCTTGCTGATCACAGGGACATCGCAAAGTCTCTGATTGAGCCAAGAGAAGCTNAATTCCCCAGCCAGCATTCGCTGGCTGGGGAATTCTGGGAGTTGAAGTCCGGACATCTTCAAGTTGCCAAGGTTGAGAAACACTGCTCTAAACAGAGAATCAGGAGACAGATCTGCTGAGGAAAACAGGAAGTCTGTCTTTGCTATGTCGAACTTCTGGAGGTGATGACAGAGGAACAGCTTAGGAGAGAACATCGAAACGTCTGGAAAACATGCACAGCATCAGAGTTTAACTTTAAAACATTTCTCACTAACAGTATTTGCTGACCAAGGGACAACTTTTTAAAGTTGCTTGCCTCTTCAGCAATGGGAAGTGATGCAACAGAAGAAGATGTTAAAATGTCAGTGTTTTGTCTGGTCAGACACATGTATGTCCAAATCCCATCTAGACTTACGAGAGAGGAAAGAATGAAAACATGAACTTGAAGGTTATTGTCGGCTAAAAGGAAGAAGCAAAAAATATGAGACTTAAAAAGATCTAAAGAAAAGTACAGAGGAACAAATACCAACTGACACACACAAATCCCAAGGTGAACGAAGGGCATTTTAAGAGAAAAGATTAGGAGAGGGATTTGCAAATCAAAGGGAAAAAGGAGCCCTAGGGATTATTTTATATAGTACCACTAACTCCACCAGAGGTTCAATGGAATAGCCACTTGATAATCAAACTTGGTGCTATTATGGGATTCAAACAGAAACCAAAGTGAGATCATGTTTGAATTACAAGAAGTCTATAGACTAGCAAACTATATAAACACACAATATATTATGGTTAGGTTGATATTGCTTTCTGGCTCCATACTTACAAAATCACAGATAGGAATCTCCTGTGATGTGAACCACTGAAGCAGTTTAGTAGATTTACAAGGAGATTTAAAAACTAATTGAACTAACCAGCCTGTATTTATTCCTGTATTGCTCTGTCCAACAGTGAACCACTACAAAGAAGATCCCCCCCATCATTAACCATGCCTCTGTAATCTTAGACTGGTGCAGTAAAATGCTTGCCTTCTTTACCTTCTTCACCATCTGCAGATCATCCTGACCACAGAGCATGAATGAAGAGTAACTCAGTTTAATTGACAGTCAGCTACAGAATAGTTTGTTGCTTTCACTTCATCTACCTCCCACCCCTGTATCCCGTCCTCTTCTGTGACAAAGACATACAGGCAATGAGATCAAACATGTTTTTAAAAAAGGAATCACCCCCTAGGATTTTTTTTTACTGCAGCTGCAGATCAACGCATCTTTCTCACACATTCCTTGGTAAGAATAGAATCTTTTTCTTTTGCAAAGGAGCACTGCTTGTCATCATAAAAACAAAATATGTTTGCATGCTTTACTCCCAGCTACTTTCTAGAGATATTTATATAGTTCATTTTAAGTCACCAGGACAGCTTGATGGGGGTCATGGCTTCTCTTTAGATCAGGGGTGTCACATTGGCTGCCCGCAGGCCAGATGTGTCACACGCAGGCTACGCCCACCCCAGCTCTGCAACGGGAAAAGACATCGCAAAATGTCATGTGATACCAACATGACACCACGAGTTTGACACCCGTCCTTTAGATGAACATGCATCCACCTGCCACAGCTACCAGTGGCATCTTCTTTACTGAAAAGCTTTCACTTTGAGAGATTCTGATTACCAAATGAGCCAAGACAACTCTGCAGGTTGTTTACAAATAGAAAATCTTATATCCACAACATTCAAAAGACTCAAAAGAGCTATGGAATGAAAGGTCAATCTTTAGTACAATTTCTCATCAAGATATCTACATCGATTCCAAGTGTATATCTATGGATATTCTCCATCATCCAAGTCATGGTTGTCCCAATGATTGAAAGAGGAGTCAAAGAGGCCATCTATGTTAAGACTGAACAGCCCACTCTTCCCAGAGGGGGAAGCATATGACACCACCTAGCTCCTGTTTACAAACCAGTCCTTTCAGCAGTTCCAAGAAGGTTCCACACCCATTTACACTATTCAGGTGATCTTAAGGTCACAGATAAAGCTCCAAGTGGTCTCCACTACTCTCAGAAAGAGTGCTAATGACCAGATGACCTCAAGGAATATAAATCCTTCCATTCTCCATCATTCAGTTAGAACTGAAAAAGCTTCTTAGGTGAGAAGCGAAATGTCTTCAAGGAAAAAGAAAGGAAGTCCAGTTGCCTTTAAAAAAAAACACACACACATTTGGATTTCAGGTGTATATTCTTTGCATTACATCTTTCCTCACCTTTCAGTCTTACCCACTATTGCTAAGATGCTTTTTTTAACATTTCTGTTCAGAACCAGAGTTAAAAGATTAGTTCTAATTTTGGCCAACTAGCAACGCTTACATCAATTTTCCCCAAAGATGAAAAGTGCTGCAGCCTGGATGTACAATATTATTGCCTTGCTTGTTTAGTTCTCATTGAAAAGAAAATCCTCCAGATTCAAAGACAAGTAGTATCTGCCAAATACCCTCCATTAAGATGATGCCTTTTCTAATGTCAAACTGGAAATTATGAACTATCAAGAAAGGAGTACTTTAAAAGATTAATCAATAGAATTTTACAAAAGAAACAAGAACACAGTTTATCTGGAAAGCTGCCCACAGCTCATATGCTCAAACTGCAATCTGAGCATTTTCCCCCTTTGGTTTTGAATTATTTGGGATTAGAATTTGGGAAACAACTCAATTATTCTATTCAAGCTCTTCTGAATTATTTATAGAAGCTAAATAAAGAATAAATTGGGCATGATGAACTGAAGACCTGATGGTGGAGGGAAAGTTGCATACTGGAAAACAAGCAATTTTCTCTCAATAGGAGTGTTTATTATTTTCTTCCTTCTGCAGAAATTGACAAATTATCTTTAAAGGTCTGCTGCTTAGCAACACCAGTTCCACTGATCTGCTTGAAAGATGTTAATTGCTTCTCCAAACAATGAGAACTGTTTAAAGGGAAACACCTCTCATTTAATGGCAAGCAAAATTGGTCACAGGGAAAAAAAAGGCTGATAAACCACTGCATATGCTCACCAAGTAATAATCTATCTAAAATGCTCAGGTTTCATTAAAGTGCAAGAAAGCATAATTATCTACATTTATAGAACACAGAAAATGTCGTGGTATGGAACCTGATTTGGTTTGCTTAGATTTTTCTCAACCATTAGGTAAGAGACAAACTACTTGAACCATACCAGTGAGAGGGCATTCTAATAAAGATTTGGAAACAGAGTTTATTCTGCCATCCAACATGATGAAGCAATCTTAAGAAGAAACATAAGGGGAAGGAGAGGTAGAAAGTAGCAAGTTTCTCTGAAAGGAAGATTACAAAGGTGGAAGGAGGGTTTTGCCTCTAGCAGCAAATAGACTTTTGTCACAAAATATTTACTTCATCATGTTTAACCTTCCACAGCTATATTTAAGGGTAAGTATGCAAGTGGTAAATCACTTCTAAGTGAGCACCAATATGTGAAATTCTACCAGATACTGAGCCAAAATAAGGTAGAAAGGTGGGGTGGGGGAGATCCTTGATATTAGCAGAAGTGTAATCTCTTGGTAGCAATGAACAAATTAACCCTAAAACAAGTCATAAGAAAAATTAAGCACACTCATTGGTGACAGAATATGGGGTAGCTGCTGGGAAAAAATGGGATAGAACAGAGAAATGTCAAGATGGACAATGCCAAATCCCACTTGTTTCTACTGATTTACAAGAGACCGTAGACGTAACATTTGTTATTTAGATCCAGTGAGAACAAAAAAATGTTATTACAGAAACAGCGTGGGGATGTTGAGATCCCAGCATGCTTGCGCTACAGATGACGACTGCAACAGGATGTCATCCAAGTAGCAGATGAGTCTCACTGGACAAGATCAGAGATGTGCTGCGACTGTGGCCAGACGTTTGGTAAATGTCCTGGGGGTCGATGAGAGGCTGAAGGGAAGAGCTTTGTACTGATAGTGCTGGTTTGCACACTGGAACCTCAGAAACTTGTGATGTGCTGGATGAATGGGGACGTGCAGGTCCGCCTCCTTCAGTTCAATCGACGTCAGGAAGTTGCCCTGCCTGATGCAACCCAATATGGTCTGAAGAGATTGCATTTTGAAGCACTTGTACACTAGATGGATGTTGAGTTTTTTGAGGTCCAATATAGCTCTCACCCCTCCCGAAGACTTTGGAACCAGGAAGTG